TCTTTGTTGATCTCAGAAACACCTGTTGTTCACTTCTTCATACTTATATGATTTTCCGCATCGTTTGGGATTCACAGAGATTCATTGAATGTGTGCAGGGGAAGGATAATTTTCTGGTGCACTTGAGCTCGATGAAGCTTCCGGCTGATTGGGACGAGGTTAAGCCTGTGTGTTTTAGCCCACCTCGGGATGGAACAGCCAAGGGAAGCCAAAGGCCCCTCGGAAAGCCAAACGAAGTTTGTAATAATCATGTCAGTGGTAGAAGCTCAAGGCCAAGCGGATGCCAATGGAAACCTAAAGAGAAGACCCCTTCTCCTCCAGTGGAACGCGTCAGTTATGAAGAAAAGGAAACATGAATGGTACCCTCCAAAAGTGTGCACATCAATTCAATGATTCAGAATTAATCTCCGCATTTAGACGCGGGAGCGCTAGATTAATCTGAATCATTATATGTAACATCCTGTGCACGGAGAGTACACGATCATTTCCACAGACTGGTTAGGGTTGAAGTGGCAGCACATGTATATCGTTTCATGTCTGTAAACTGTCTGTTTGTATTTTCAGTGACTGTGACCCCTTTAGCTGGGGTTTGAATTTCCTCGGCCTATCTACCTATCTATCTATCTATCTTTCTCACTGTCTGCTGATGTTGTCTGTGTGTAAAGTAGTACTCCTGTAGGGTTTGCCCTATGATACTGTTGTTGTATGCTTTCCGATTTTCATGAAACCTGGCTTTAGGTTTGAAGAACAGCATCCAGTTTTGACTTTGATGCTTAAAGCAGTTCAAATCAATAATATTCCTTGTAGGGTCAATTTTCTTTTTCTATTTATGGCTGTATCGTTGTTGTGGTAGCCAGGTCTCGGTTTGATAATTTGCAGCAGTCTGGTTGGTTAAAAGAGATCGAAGGCAAGTCAGCGGCTGAAGAGCTGCAAATTCGTCTGTGTGTTTTGGTATGTGGGTTTGGATGAATCTTTCCTCTTGCATGCATCTGGAAACTGGGAAAGCAGAAAGAGGGTTTGTTCTTTTGTCGTAGAGGAAGCCGGAATCATGAAAGGTTTGATTGGGGTTGAGTTTGATCATTGTTTATGGCAGAATTTGAAAAGTTGAGCTTGTTTGTCCTTGTTCAGTAATGGAAGTACTGTCCATGAGCCTGAACGAAACCTGTGCGCATCACTTCTTCGGCTCATTAATTGTGAGCATTCATCAATCCTAGTAATGTTGGTCTTTGATTAATAGAGTCAGAATATTACCTGGTAGGTTAGGTTTTTACAAGGCCTACATTTAGCCTACATAAGATTTAATCAAATCTATTTAGTAAATAAGTTATATTCATATTTAGATCTATTTAAGTAAACAGGTTAAACTTAAAGCATTTGTGTTATTATATACTCCTTCCGTCTTTTATTATAAGAGATAAATAATTAAATTACGTTTGTAAAAAAAACAGTTAAAATTAATTGAGGACAATTAATATGTAAAAAGTATAATGTTTTTTCTAACAATACTCCTATTAATAAGGGAGAGAATATGAGAGAGAATAATTAAATTATTAAAAAAAAAGAGAAGTGGGAGGGGGAGAGAGTATGAGTTGGAGACAAAATAAATAGGAGTAAAATAGAAAATCAATACAAAAAAATAGAGATAACCTTTAAGTGTCTCTTGTATATAGAAACATGTTATAAGTATCAAATGTTTCTTATAATAAGGAACGGAGGGAGTATTATATAATATAAACTAATTTTATAAATTATTTATAAAATTACTAACTTTAATTTAACTAAGTTTCACATCATGATATTTTTATATAAGATCAGTCTTTTTTTTATTCTCCAGTCATTCACCTCTATCTGTTTTTTTTCCCCCGAGCTCAATAAGGCAATATTAGCTCACTTTTTTTTTCTTCTAATTTTTGTTTTTTATTAAAATATAATAATTATTATAAGTTTATTTTAGTGATATCTAAATAAAATATTATAATATCAGTGGGAACAATTTGCCCAATTTATGCAGGAAACCAAATGAAGTGAAATTTAGTTTTTACGTGTCAGTTGTTATGTTTGATTAATTTTAGAAAATATATCTATTTGTTATTAGATGATTGGTTTTTCTTGTTTTTACTTTTATCTGATTACTGTTGTCATTATGTATTCTTTTGTTTTTTGCTAGACTCTTATATTGCAAATAAAAATAAATTTTAGACTTTTAAAACATAATAAAAGTATTTAAATAAGTTTAAAGGGTTATAGATGAACTTGGAGGCCTAGGTTTTAAAATTTATATAAAGGCTTACATTTTAAGTAAGTTTTTAAATGGATTTCAGGTCTTGTCAGGTTTTTTGAGAGCTCAAGTTTAGGCTTTTAAAAAAAAAAAAACTATATGCAAGTTTGGATTTAGACTCAGGCTTTAAATATCTATTACAATTCTAAACGTACTTGGCTAAAGCCTAACCCAACTTAGTTTATTTTCATTACTATCTGTGATAATTTTTTGATTTACCCCTGCATTTATATAGGGAAAATTGTAAAAAGACCTTAAAAATTAAAAAATTACATATAGAGACTGTTAATAAAATTGTTATTATTCACTTATTAATTGTTATCAAAACCAATACTAATTTTGTAATACCAATACTAACACATTCTTATTAGAAATTTAATGGTAATGTGACGTCAAAAGAAGTGTTCTCCCTCTTTTTTATAAATATACAGGAGCACAAATATAAATGAGTAATAGTCAGGGCTTTAAATGTTTTTTCCCTATCCTATTTTGCCCATAATTAATTAAAGCAGTTGAGTTATAATTTATTATTACATGGGGAAATGGAGAGTAATCATGAGTATTTGTTTTGGCGACATCATTATTTAATAACAAAATATACGGCGATTCACAGTATGAATTATTTTAATTAAAATATTTAAGTTGTTTAATTAAAGCAGTTTTTTTTTTTGCCAAAAGGTTTAGTTAGAGCAGTTGAGTTATTATAACACGAGAGTCTGAAAAAAAGAGCATACAGTAAAATGTTCTTTTTATTTAATAACGAATTTTTTTTTACAGATCTATTATATAAATTATTTTAACTAATTTATCAGAACTAAAAAATGACACTTATTTGTTTCAAATTTAATTTTTTATAAAATTTACTCATTAAATGAGCATATAAGAACAAAATTGATAAGTAATTATTAATTACCCTTAAGTGATTTATATTTTAAATCAAGTGATTCCTTTAAATAAATACTATCTTCACCTACTCCTCTAATCTTTAATACAGGACTCAATTGTTAAGTTAGTTTTAGTTCTAAATATAAAACCTATTTTTCATATTTATCAATTTTTTCTAAATTACTTATATAGATAGTCCCTCAACCATAATCAAATAGAAAAAAAGATAACGTATTAAAAAAAATGATTATAGTATTTTAAGAAAAATGTGTCACATTTCTTATAATTAACTAATTTACCTAACTTCCTTGATCTAATTAAATTAGTTAAATGGGTTTTATATTAAGGACTGGAAGAGTATTATTTTCCAGAAAAAAAGAATTAGGGAAACTAATATGGTATTGCTTATAATTTTACAAATTTTTTAATTAGATTCTTGCTTCTTCTTCTTCCTTTTTTTTTTTTGGATCCAACTCTTTGGGCATCAGCCCCTCCCTTACACACAACGTCACTTGAGAGAGCGCGGCGCTGAACAGGGGTAAGCACACGTCTTTCCTCACCCCTGTAACAGTTCCTCCTTGAAAGCGAATACTATTGTCTCTCTCAGCTGTAATAGCACACTCCTCCTCATTTTTGCAAGGCTTACCTCTCATGCCATGATCGATCTCTTTGCAACTTCTATGCCTCCTCCTTCTTCTACTCTGGGTATGAATTAGAGTGTAAGGGAGCGATCCTATTGCGAGAGAGAGAGAGAGGTGAAGAGAAAATGGAGGGAAGGGATGGAGTCTCAGTACTGAAGAGCTCTTCACTTGCTTTGGTAAAATTAAATCAGAGAGAGGCCAAGTAGTATTGCCATCGATTTTTGAGGCCAAATGAAAGGTACAAGTGATTTTTCGATTCCGATAAGGGAAGCACCGTGACTATCAGCACCACAACTACAAGCAGGTTACTAGCAAAGAAAATAAATTATACTCTTTTTGTCTTTAATATAAAACTTATTTAACTAATTTGATTAGATTAAAGAAGTTAAATAAATTAGTTAATTATAAAAAAAAGTGACACATTTTTTTTAAAATACTATAATCATTTTTTTTAATACTTATCTCCCGCTTCTACTTGATTATAATTCATAGAGTATCTATAGGGGTAATTTAGAGAAAATTGATAAATATAATAAATGAGTTTTATATTTAGGACCAAAACTAACTCAAAAATTAGATTCTATATTAAATACCGGAAGAGTATTATATTTTAGTTGTTCACTGTATATGCAGCACTGGCTTCAGTCGTAAAACTGCAAAGAGGAAAATTTAGGAAAGAGACGACAGCCTATGTCTCAAGGCATTCGTGCCTACTACCTTGCCACTTTCAGAGATTGGTTCACTGACGAAAAAAGAATGTACGATAATTTTGATAATCTGGGATTGCAGGTGTGTGAATGAAGTTAGGACAGAGATATGGTGAGTTCATTTTACTCTTCTCTTGTCACTTTGTTTAAATAATTAAAAAAAGTTGGGTAGTATAGGGGGAAAAGTGAGGAGGGAGATTTTGGGCGGTGTTCACTTGATTATGGGTGGTGTAGGATTTTGGAACTCCTCCTGGATGCACCCTAACCTTTTAGACCATTGTGATGAATTTCTGGGTTTTTGGTTAGCAATGCACTACAGGCTTCTTACCAATCAAGTTAGGCTCAAGAGGAAGATGGCGTCTGATGATATCGCTGTGAACTTTGTGGAAAAGCTTCGGAAGATCTAAATTCTTAGATACTGCACTTTAGCCTCCTCATGTTGGAATCTCCCGGCAGCAACAATTTTTGACACAACCGTTTGATATATAGATGGCTCAGTTAAAGAAAATTTCTGGCTTAACGATCAGAACAGACACTGGTGCATCGTGTTTGGTCTCCTTTGTTGGCAGCTCTGGCCTCTGGGACGCTAGAAATCGTTTCCACTTCTCTCAGGAAGACACTAATCCCACCGGATTGGTCAACAGGGTTTTAGCCTTGAGTGATTCTGCGATTAGGGCCCAGGATCATCACGAACAAATGGGTCATAGTTGATCAGAGCCTGACCCTTTTTGCTTTTCTCTTATAAATACTAGTTATCAATAAAATTACATTTTCACTATAAAAAGATAAAGGTGGTTGCTGAGCCTGCTTTAGTAACGCTGGAGGCATAATCATAGATTAAAGCTTAAACCCTATTGAAGCACCATATCATCATGAGCCAGCAGTTTTTCTTTCTACTTTTAGTAAATGAAATGGAGAAATTCTTGGACATGTTATTCTAGATGTTGACACAGTTACTCGATCACGTGGATCAACTTCATTTTTGGATCGTAAAATATGATGGACGTGACGTGAATAATGCAGCATATACAGTTACCTTCAGGCTAAGCTATGAGATGTATGTGTTGCTGCAAATTGACATTAGTGTGTTAGAGAGGATAGGTGCAAGAGTATGAATGAAGGGCAAACCTGGCTGGAGCATGACGAGACCTGACAGAAGAAGGAGAAGAAGTCATAATGAAACAGCATTCTTGGCTGCCAACTTGCTATGGGACTTGAAAAGCCGGCGAGAATCAAGGTTGAGCGAATCTAAACAAATTCTTAATAAGAATATAAATTTGGACGCTAAATTCAAATAGTCAACTTATAAGAATTTATTTTTATTAATAAATTAGTATTAAAAATATATTTTTAAATAATTAAAATATAAAAATTATAATAATTTCATTTAAATATATTTTGAATCTAAATAATTAAAATTAAATTCATTAATTTTCATAACTTATCATATTTAATAAAGAAATTTTTTTTATAAAATTGACATACAAACTCACTAAGCATACCTAAATCCAAAAACATAGCACAAAGTTTAAAAAGAAGTTAATATGAATTTGTAAACTAAAAAAGTAAAAACAGGAAACTAGCTAGTGAACTCGTAAGTTTGACTGAATTTATTTATAGGGAACAAGAGTTTAAGAATAACTTGACACAATTTTATAAGTTAAAAATGTAGAAACATTAAACTCGAGAGTTATCTCGCGAGTTTGACAACAATTGTAGTAACTAATAAAGGAAGGGGAAATGATGGCTACGATGTAGTGTATGAATTAAAACAAAAAAATACTTCCAATTCTTAGGATAAGATCCATATGATTAATTTTGAAAAATTAAGAAAGTTGCTAAATTATCTTAAAGTATTTATAATTATCATGTAATATATACTATAATCAAATAATTTATAAACTTTTTTAATCTTTTCAAATTAATCAACTTGATCTTATATTAAAAATCAAGGAGTACTGTTAGAAAGTAAAATATGAAAAGTCAAAAAAATTTGGGGAATTTTAATTTTAATTTTTTTAAAAAATTCAATGTAATTGCGCGAATCAGATTAAATTTAGTAACTTTCCTCTCTCTCTCTCTCTCTCTATTAAGAGGACACGAATATATGAGCAAAAAAAAAAAGGCATGTGCGAAATAGCCCTAAACGAAGCGACGAGGGATGCCCTCCCATGAAGGATTTAGAACAGAAGAGGAGAGATTTTAATCATTTTTTTTATTTTGTAAGATAAACATTTTAGAAGGGAAGCAAAAATTTTTTAATCTTTTCTCTTCCCTCCTCTCATAAGCCTCCCTTCTAAAATTGGAAGAACTTGAAAGAAAATGGTAATATTTTGACTTGTGTTGACTAATATGTCTATATTATTTTTTTAGTAATATCACGTTACTCTTTATTACTGAATTGTATGTGATTTGATATATTTATGGATCCAATCATACTTCTCTTCCCTCATATATTAAAGGGAGAATGACAGAAAAAGAAGTTGGAAATTGCAAATCCCAAATCAGGTTTGATAACATAACTTTATTTAGTATTGACAAGTCTAAATTTGCAAATGACAATGAATTTTTGTTGACATTCTTTGTTTGGCATTTACAAATTGCAATTTCTTTTTTTGTCATTGTCCCTATATTAAATATTATTTATAATTATATTTTATTAATTATTCTATAAAGTTTGTAAAAATCAACTTAAATAATATAGGGGTAAAGTTGTCCATACAAAATATTTTGCCTCCTCTCTTTTCTTAAACTAAACAAGGTAATATTAAAATCTCTTCCATTTCTTTCATCTCATTTATCTCCATTAAAATTCCTTCATTCCTATCTTTTTTATTGAGCCAAACACACCCTTAATCAATCATTTCAATTTACAAGTGAGGGGTGAAAAAAAAGGGATACTGAGAGAAAGATGCAGTTTCTGGTATTAATAAAAAAGAAGAGAGAGAAAAAGATGCAGTTTTGCGTAAGATTTTTTTATTTTTTAATTTCAAGAAGTGCCATTTTATTTCTTCAATCTTAATGTTGTTAACCAAAAACAAATGCTAACATTAAGATTTTAATATTGACAAAATACTTTTGATTATTAATATAATAAATTTAAATTCAAAAAATAACAATAATTTGAATAAAAAAAATGATCACGGTTTAAAAACTAAAAAAATATTTTATAAAATTGAGCAACCAAGATTAAGGACCCACTGAAACTCAATTTAAAATTAGAGGACTAAAGTTATATTTTTATTGATTCTTTCATTGTATCGTTTGTGGTGCGACCACTACTACTGGTCCGGTAGATACTGCATCAAAAAGGTCCAGGACACATTTGAAGATAAAAAACCCTCAACCGAAACACCAACGAAGTTTCTCAATTTCTTTGCAGGGTGCTGCAATCCGAAGATTTGCGCGGTTATGGCGGCAAATGCGCCATCCAGCCATCTATTGCACATTCTTCGTTCTCAACCATCTTCTCTGTCTTCGATATCGCCATCTTCACCTTCTTATGTTTCTTTTCTGAAACCTCTTCTGCTCTTATCCTCCTCTACTGCTCCCACTGCTGTACCTAAACTCGTTGGACGGATCCAAATTCCACATCGTCGGAAATCCCTCTTTGCCTCTCCCACTCACCTCTCTAATCCTTTCTTCTCTCACTCTTTCTCTGCACATGTGATTTCTGCTCCTCAGAGACATTGCGATGCTGTGGGAGCTGGAGATTTGGCGGACATTGCTGAGGACGATGAAACAATTGAACCGTACACTGAAGAGAGCGGGATTGAAAACGAAGATGAGCATATCGAGATGAGTAGGGGTTCAGATTTGTCGCCATTAGAGAGAAACAGGGAGGAGAGGTTGAAGTTGCCCAGTCTCACTGTGAAGGAAAGGAAAGAGCTCGCCTCTTACGCTCATAGCTTGGGGAGAAAGCTGAAAAGCCAGTTGGTGGGCAAGTCTGGTGTTACACCTAATGTTGCGACCTCTTTCATTGAGACCCTTGAAGCTAACGAGCTTCTCAAGGTACTAATTCCCTGAAATTTAGTTTATAATTGATGCTATGCCTCTAGAGATTGCTTTTTGGTTCTGAGTTTTGTATGTTAGCATTAGTTATGGAAATTATTGTCTGTTTATTTGTACGCCGGGATTTTGAATCATATTTCATTTGACGAGTAAGGAGAGAATGGATAATAAAGGGAAATTAATGTTCATTTCCTATTTTCCTCCTTGTCGAGCTTATACTGGGGATTCTGTTCGGCATAGGCTGTCAAGTATTCATGAGGTCTGCGATTCCCTTTAAGCTAGGTTTCAAGTTCATCTGTAGTTTGCTTCTGTTGGACTGTCTTTTTCTTCCTCGCCCCTTTTTGTGTATTGCTTGTCTAATTGGTTTGCTTTTGAAAGTAGTTTTCTAATCTATAATATGTTAATAGTATCATATCAATCTGGTGTGCATGCTTTTATGTTGTGAATTAGCTTGTTGGTAGATATGTTGCTGAGCGTGTCTTTGCTTGAAATTATTACACAGTCGGACCTTGGACGAGTTAGATTTTTACCATTTGAGTTGAGGTTTCGGGATATCAGTGTATGTATGAAACAATTGCAGGTTTTTGTTCACGTAGTTCAGTGACTGAATGGTAAGGGATATCCAAAAATAAGGTACCTGCGGACGGGAAAGAGTAATTTGAAGCACAAATATCCAATTTACTGTTTTTCTTCATGTTGCGTTTCCTCTCTGCTTTCCCTAGCTCAATGATTCTTGGATGACGTTAAAAAAAAAAAGGATTCTTTTGATCTGTACTTGCATTTGAATGGCACGTATGCAGATTAAAATACACCGGACTTGTCCAGGAGAGCTAGATGAGGTCGTGAAGCAGCTGGAAGAAGCAACTGGTTCGGTGACTGTTGGTCAAATTGGTCGGACAGTGATTATATACAGGCCTAGTCTCACCAAATTGAAGGCAGAAGAGAAGAAGAAGCAAGCTCGAAAAGTGTTTCTGAGAAAACAGCTAAAACCAAAACTAGTAAGCAAGGGCTTAGCTTTCATTTTCCTAATTTCGCCTGTCTCTCGCGACACTTCCCTAATTGTCTAATAAATATTGCAGAGTAAGGAGCAAGGGTCAAAGTTTTCGCGGCGGAGATAATTTTGGAAACACTAGCTAACAATTCTTGGTGTACTTATGTTGAGGTTTGCCCTATACGGAGTGAGGCTTTGCATGCATGGCATTTAGAAGCTAAATTCACAAGCATATTTTAAGGCAGATGAATTTCTATGGTTATGTATAGAACTCTTGTAACTTATGAAATCTCGCTGCCGAGGAAGAATATTGCATGTTCTGTACATAGATTATTTTGCTTGAGAAACTGGGAAGCAAACTTGTTTCGGAGGATTTAGATTAAATTTTTGAAAGTAATTTTATGAATATTGAAGGTAATTTTGAAAGTAACTTTTTGAAATCTCACTGCTGAGGAAGAATATTGCATGTTTTGTACAATGATTATTTTGCTTGAGAAACTAGGAAGCAAACTTGTTTTGGAGGATTTAGGTTAAATTAATTTTATGATGTACGAGCTAACTATGTAGAAATAGTTTTGTCTCGATTTGTACGAAAAAAACACCCCTAATCTCAAACTGAAATTAGGTTATGCATGTTGATTATTTTCCAAAAAGAGCTGAAATATTATAGATTGCAAACTTAAGTTGGTTATTGATTGAATTCAATGGCATCATAGGATCTACTTAGTCAATATTTCTTGATGGAAAAAAGTTTATTGTTGCTGCTACAAGCTTAGAAATGTATAGGCTATGTTTGGCGTTATGTTTAAAATGATTTATATACACAATTCATATAAGTTAGAATGAAACTCATTTTATATATTTGTTTTGTATTTTGTAGATCATGGATGAAAAGTTATTTATAAAATTATTTATAAGAAATTCTAAACAAACCCATGGATGTTGGCTTCATTGTAGATGATCATAACACGACAAAATGTGTGGTGTTTTAGGTGTTATTCCAAACGTCAGCATCTGAAATCGTGGAAGAAAAACTGACTGCGCATGCCTTTTAAAACTCGGACCACGTCCCATATATGCTCCTATGAATAATTATCCGGTTCGAACGAAAATGGCTGCTTCGAAAGACCATTTTTGTTATAGAAATGGTATTCAGAGGAGGGATTTGTTGCCTAATTGCCTAAGGCCAACAATCCTATTTGGCCCGAGACCAATAATTATGTTCGTGTAAAAATAATTATATTTTTTATCACAATAAATTACCTTTTTATACGGGCATAAATTAGACAAATCGGTTCAAAAACTCATTTCATTTATATTTTTGATACAAGTAAGCTCTAAATCATACAATTTTTTTTTTTTTCACTTTTCAATGCTAAGGAGTTAGGAGGATGTAATAATATATAATAAAAGTTACTGAAAAATCTCATTAAAATGTTTATCCTTTAAAAGTGCCTAAAATTTGTTTGACCACCCAAGTCCTTGCGTGGGTATGACTCATTTTTAATGAACACAACTTTTCAAATGTGCAATATATCTTTAACTATATGTAAATATTTTTATTTTAAAATTTTTACACATACTTAAAAATATATTGCGCGTAGCTTAAAAGTTACGTATATCCTGTATAAAAAGAAAAACAAAAGACAATCATATATAACTAAAAATATATTGTACATAATTGAAAAAGAATTGCACCCCTTTAAGTAAACAAATTTCAAGCAGTTTTGGCAATAAATATTTTTATGGAGGAAGCATATAAATGATAACGAATTTTAGGCGTGTAATACCTTCTCCATCGGGCCTGGTTTGTGTGCCTGGATCGCTGAATATAATATCGATCTAAATTTAGAAATAAAATTACAGTCGGAGCACTTGGGCATATAAATTGCTTGCATTACGTCATGCTTCTAAGAATTAATAATGTGAGCCCTGGCATATGATCACAAGCGCATGCCTACCTTTTTGATACTACAAATACAAGAGTGCTTCTATCCCGATTAAAGTGTGTCATGATTATTATAAAACTGAGCTCCCAACCTACGCAGCCTTGAGCTGCTTATACTGCTCAAAATCTTCAGAGAATAACATGCCATTGGGCGAAAGTAGACGCTGGAGGGACATCGAAAAGCGAGCCTATAGACGATAAAATAATTGAACATCAGAATTTTATAAACAATGCCTGTACTTGATGCAAGCTGGAGATCCTAGTCTTACCCATTGAAATATTGCGAGCGAAAACCAGCAGCCTTGCAAGCCATACCTGCTGCTCAGTATCTGGCGTCAAGGGAAATTGAATGTTACGCAAGAAGTGAGAGAGCGATATCACATTGTACAAAGGAGACCAAGAAAGGGGTTGCTACCAATAGTATAAATGCACCGAAGGTGAAGCATCCGCCCATTGATAAACTCATAAATCTCAGATCGCGTCCAGCCTGCATAAATAAACACACCATGAAACTGCTAGACGTAGCCGTATAATGTTCAATCCATGAATAGTAAAGCAAAGCAAGTTGGAGAAATATATCATACGCTAAATAATCACGCATTTGTGTTAAGTTACCGTTCGATAGTGCATAAGAGGATATGGATCACATCATACAAAGAGTACAAAAAGGGGGTACTAAAGTTGAAATAGCAGAGTTCAGTTGATAACGTGTAATGGATGCCTATAAATAGGGGGCGACAACATATTCAGCGGATGGATCGCCCAAATCTGACAACCCTATTTAAGTAAGTTTAGGGGAGCTTATTGGTAATTCTAAGCAATTAGACTTGACGCGGCCTGTTTATGTCCTGGCCTTAAATATTTACTTGTATTTCTTTGGAAAAGTTTAGGGGTTAAATGAACATACCAGCAATGTTCCTTCAAGGCTAAGAGTGGAGGGTGTTACAACAAGCGCTAAGAAGTATGGAATCAGCACCTTGTGCATCTGCATGGTCACAGTTCACAAATACAATAGTTAACTACTATTTTTGTTTATATAATATATCCGCTCTCAAAATCATTTATTTTTTTAACGCAAATCATGATTGACACCACATAAGATGACTATCTAAAGTATAAAGCGCAAGCACTAACCTCCTGGATAACCATCTGATCGGGTGTAAAAATTTTGGGGAATAACCAAGGAATTGATGTCCCAACAATTCCTAACAGCAATCCGAGTATAGCTCCAATTATTACTAGAGACCTTAGAAGTACTCTAGCCTGTTGACATTATGAAAATTCAGGATTTTTTTTTCCAACAGTATGCATGCAGAAATTCAGCAGCAGTGACAGCCACAGGTGAAGAAAATCCCTTCTAATCTAACCTTTGCCAAACTCCGCTTAGCGCCATAAATCAATTCCGGCATAAATGATTGGGCAGTTTGAGAGAGAGGTTCACCCCATACTGTACATGTGGTGTAGGTTTGAACCATGACCTAACATTAGAGTCAAGTCATGTCAGGGCCCTTGAATTTCAGATACCGACAGCAAGCAAATCAAGGAATACAGTGCAAAAAAATTAGAGAGGCGTAAAACTAACTTGATGAGCAGCCATTGTATGTGTGCCCATTGATGTGGCAAAATATATAAGTAGTGAGTAGAAAGCCACCTATATATTACAAGTCTCAGTAACATTTTTTTGGGGGGGGGGGGGAGTCAAAAGAGATTCGGATTTAAGCAACATAATTAAGTTCAATACTCGATGCAACCTTTGATATCAGTGTAACAAATACAGGGGTAGCAAGCCCAACTATCGAAAAAAGCTCTTGGGCTGAGGGGATGGAGAGGGCATATGCATTATATCCCTTCTCTTTTAGACTCTGAAGCATCATGTACCCAGCAACCACCTAAAAACAGGAAGGCAAGAGGTAAAGGATCGGATATATGACAGTTAACGGATAATAATTCACATGAACGCATGGGCACATAAACTGAGAACATTTGGAGCAGCATATGATAGTTAATGCATTATATGTGAATTTTTAACATACTTGTGATGCCATTGTAGCCCACGCGGCCCCTGCAATACCATAGCCCAGAAAAATACATAATACTACGTCACCAATGCCATTTACAGCACTAGCGGCGGCCAAAGCCTTCAAGGGTCCCCAGGAATCCTTCATACCAAGACTGTGAGAGAGAACGCTAATATTAGGACAATGGCTTCAATTAATAAGCCTATGTTTAATGAATTACTTATAGAAAGACATCATGTATTACAATAAACTCTGCTAAGGGTAAGTAGAAACTTGAAGATACAGGATAAGGAAATTTGAATGAGAAGCCCGAAAGTATAGTCATGCATATTGGTCGAACAGTAATACTATCTCAGCACCATCTGAACAAGGAAAAATGGGTCACAACAGGTTCTGAGCAAATACAAAGAGAAGCTCTATCATCCCATTGAACAGCTCACAAGGATTAATATGAACAATTATATGTAAATGAAATAGAATGTCGAGCAGAATCTCGTAAAGGCTCAAATTAAAAAAAAAAAAAAGGCACAAAGTAGCAATCTTTCATTTCAGCTAATAAAGCTTGAGAAATAAATAGAGCATATTTTGACCTAGCACTTTGAGCAACCCATCCAACAAGTAATGCAGGCCATGCCAAGCCTCGAATCTGACAGCAAAAGAGACTCCGGTTAAGTCATTTAAGCAAGTTAAACAGAGGAAAACATCACAGCTTTATTTACCAAAAAATCACGACTTCATTATTTAATAGTTAGGAAGCAAAAGGAAAATCTTATTTACGAGTCCTGATAACTTAAGAGGAAATAATGTTGCTATAGTGCCCTCATCTATTCTTATGAGAAAAAGAGATGAAAATTGATGACGGCTTTGATTGCTTTCCTCCATCAAATTTCAACTATTTCATAGTTTGTTTTACTTTGGAAAATATAAATTGTAGTCTTCAATTAAATGAAAAAAAGTAAATGCAATAATTTTAAAAAAAAGAAAGAAAGAAAGAAAGAAAAACCTGTACGTAAGTGTTTGCTGCAGGAACTACATGCAAATTCTTTGACCCAGTAAAAGCTGAAAAGGGGGCAGACAGAAAATTCATCAGTCATTGGATTGGTTATGCCCCCTTTTCTAAATAAGCAAGATGCTGTCATCCTACGAGGAGCACAAAACAACCAGACTGTGAAAGCATTACACATTCCATATGCATAAAAAGTAAGTAGTAGATTTCAGTACCAGTGAGCATTGATGCACCAAAGAATCTTGTGAACAAAAGCATCACGAAGCCACAAACTAACCCAACTAAAAGCAAGACAGAGATGTGATGCTGTACTTCGTCTCTATCCTACACATATATATATATGCTCAAGCAAAGCAGTGTAAGTCCTGGAGACACAAAGTGATAGATATGAACCGCAAAAATATACCAAAAAAATTCAAAATTTACGATGTCCAGAAAACTTGGTCAAGTGATGTACTATTGATTATTAATATAGGAATTAGAGAACTAAATTGAGAATATTAAGAAAATTAGTTAAGTTTGCTATTTGTAACAAATGTGTGCTGATTTCCCTGGACTACCTCTTTAATTATATGCATTGAAAGTAACCTTGGTGAACCTTTCAATCAGCAACAATATTTTAGAGAAAAAAATTATAGATTTGGAAGACAACCAGCCCTCAACTAGCTTTTATATATAGAAAGATAAGGCTGTGGGGCAGGAATACAAGATAGTAAAATTTGAAGATGTCACAGTTGAACTTTGGAAAATAAAAGTCATAATTCTAATGAAACAAGAAACTAACCTGTTTAGCAAGGGCAGTAGCAACCATGTTAGAAGTTGCAATCGAGAGAAACATAAACGCGTAACTCATGTAATCACACACAACTGTAGCAGGGCCTGCTCGTAGGAAATCAAGAGTTCGTATGATGCATCTTCAGCTATCAAAAGGTATATTAAGTGAGTAGATAAATTATATCCCAGAACTCAGTACCTAAGGCAGCTAGCTCAATGGAGCTTCCCTGACCAATAACAGCCGTATCAATGAGACTCATCAGTGGTCCGCATATCCAAAGTGCCGTTGCTGGTCCTGTAAACATGACAATTTCCTTCATCTGACCCCATATACTCTGGTCAGCCAGTTCCTTCTTCTCAACCTCTCCCCCGACTTCAACTTCGCCATCTTGTTCCCGAGAATCCTCCTCCACATAATCCTCATTTGCCACAGAAGTTTCGCGGCTATCATCAATGAGTTCTAGATTCCGATTAACGCAAGTGACTAACCAATCACGATGCGTCCGGGGAGTTCTAAGGAATGGATTTGAAGGAAAAGTAGGAATGCGAAATGCAGGTGGGGATGAATCGAGGTGTTGGTGATTGGAGAACAAGGAGGCTGAAGAGTGAGGAAGTGATGAAGAAGCACAAGGGTTCTTGTAGAGAGTGTTGTGAAGAAAGCGAGTTTGAAGTGCCATCTCTGATTTTGACGGTGATGAAGGAGTGAAGCAGAAGAGTGGTTTCGAACTTCCAAGAAAATGGAAGGAAGAGAAAGGAAGACAAAGCCCCAAAAAGGGGCCGAAAAGCGAGTGGCTTGTAATTCTGCACGCCCAACAATTGGTTTGGATGTTTCCTTATCAGAATTCAGAAAACGATAAATTTAGAAGCAAATGGTTGCTTGGCCGGGTTCCCCCTTAGTGCCCTTTTGCGCTGCCGCCTCTCTCTCTCTTTTTTTTTTTGGGCTTTAAATATTATTTTAACGAGTGGAATGCATGAGAACCAGAAGGCCTCCCACTTCCCAGGCTAATTATTGTCGGACGGAGCCGACCCTTCGTCTTCGTTTTATCTTCAAAGACTCGCAGCTTTCTCTTTCTCTTGTAGCTGCCTCCCTCCCCCTCTCTGTCTCTCTCAATTAAAAAAAAAAAAAAGAAGCAATTTTATTATGAAGAGGAAGATGAGAAGTTTAAAAAATTGAAAGAGCCCATAGAGAGAAACTCCGAAGAAACAATAAATTATCATCAGGAAGTGGGGGAAAAAAAACACGGTCAAAAAAACTTCAGATATAAGCACCGAGGTATTTGAGCTTGTTTTATTTTTTTTATGAAAAATTATATTTACCCATCTGTATAAAATATTATTCAAAATTTTAAAAATATATTAAATTTGTTGACATTAAAATTATTATTGAAAGTGAAAATTATTGTTGTATTTCTGTACCAGAAAAAAAGAAATTGTTAATGTATTTTCATACTTGTTAGTTCTTATAACGTTTTAAGAAAACTATCGCTTCAAATTTTTTTTTAAAAAAATAATTTTATGCTTTTCTGAAATTTAATAACATTTTTAACATAAAAAACCTTTTCTTGACAACTGAGTTCTGATTAAGTTCATTTTTGGAAAGACAAAAAAAAACATTTAACAATGATATGCCAATTTGACCATGATCTCAACTTCTGGCCAAAAAACTTGACAATACGTTCCTTTGCAGCTTAAAAAAATTGTGAAAAGCTCTGTTAAGTAACAATAACAAGGAAATTCATGAGGCCTGCAACAAGGTAAAAAAAAAAAAAATCTCTGCCTCCACACAGACGCAGTTGAATAAATAGAACACTTTGTAAAAAATCCCAAATAGTTAATCATTTTAATGGTTGAAATGTCATTGCATAATTACATGACCCACGTAGGTGGAAAAAGGACACTCCAACCACCCCCCCAACCAAAAACACCAAAAGAACAAAAATGAGTGGATATCACACGGCCACGCCAGAGTATGAAAATCTAGGCAGGGTTGCGAGTCTAAAACAAGCGGAATACTGAAGCATTTAAATTGTCTGCACCGCATCCTGCTTTAAAAGAAGAAATATAAAAGGGGAAGAAAGATCAGCTCTGGCTTTTAAAACATATGCATTCTCCTCTCATCTGATACATACACGGAATGCAAGTCCTTTTACTTCCTATCCCTATGGAGGTGTGTCATGAATTATAAATATTAAACTGAACTCTTAAACTATGCAGTCCTCAGCTTTTGCTGCTTGTGCTGCCCAAATTCTTCAGAGTACAACATGCCATTGGAAGAAAGAAGGCGCTGGAGGGCAATTGAAAACCGAGCCTGCAGATCATAAAATAATTTAAAATTATAATGTAATTAACAATACTCCTCCAATTCTTAATGTGAGACCTATTTAACTAATTTGATTACACTAAGAAAATTAACTAAGTTAATTAATTATAAGAAATATGACGTGTTTTTCCTAAAACACTATAATTATTTTCTTTAATATCCTCCCTCCTTCTCCTGCTTGATGATGTTTAAGGGAATATCAAAAGACGTAATTTAAGAAAAATTGATAACTATAAGAAATATATCTTATATTTAGGATCAAGATCAACTCGACAATTAAGTCCTATATTAAAGACCGGAAAAATACTTGTACTTGATGCAAGATGGAATCCCAGCTTACCCATTGAAATCCTGCGAGTGCAAACCAACAGCCTTGCAAGCCATATCTGCCGCTCAATATCTAGCATTTGCCATTAAGGGGAATCAGACGTTAAGGCAAAATGAACTAGATCAATAAAAGGACTGCATAAAAGGAGACCAAGAAGGGGTTGCTACCATTAATACAAGTGCACCTAAAGTAAAGCACCCACTCATTGACAGACTTATAAATCTTAGATCCCGTCCGGCCTGCATAAACAAATACAACTCGAAGCTGCTCAAACAATTGCTGTATCAATGAACAGTAATGAAATGCAGGTTGGAGAGATTCATCAAACAATTATGAAATGCATGTTATATTTATGGTCTGACGCTATCGAAAAAAGATTGTGCTCTGACATCGTACCATAAAAGCATTGATTTAATTTCATCGATGTTGGAACAACATAACTCAGTTGAGAAAGTTTCATGCAAACCCAAAAAATGTACACAAGACATTTAGAAGAGGAAGTTCCAAGATATAACAACTCTGGAAGTGCAAGTTTATGTAAACTGAACATACCAGCAAGGTTCCTTCAAGGCTGTGGGTAGGCGGTGTCACAGCTAGTGCTATGAAGTATGGAATCAGCACCTTATGCATCTGTATGTCCCCAGCTCACAAGGGGTTAATATTACCGTTTACATCAACTCACATAGTGTAAATTATATTTATACTCATGAGACAACCATCTAAAGTTTGAAGTACAAGCACTGACCTCCTGGATAACCATCTGATCAGGTGTAAAAATATTGGGGAATAGCCACGGAACTGATGTTCCAACAATCCCTAACAGAAATCCGAATGTAGCTCCAATTATTACAAGAGACTTCAGAAGTATTCTAGCCTGTTGATGTTATGAAAATTCAGGAAACTGTTGAATAAAAAAGTATATAGAGAATTCTAACACATCATCAGCAGAAAGGTCAAAAGAAAAATAAAAGGTCGGTGGTTTTTTTTTTTTTTTTTTTAGGAGGGGGGTTCTAACCTTTTCCAAGCTCCGACTGACACCATATATCAATTCAGGCATAAATGATTGGGCAGTTTGAGAGAGAGGCTCACCCAATACTGTACACATGCAGAAGGTTTGAACCATGACCTGAAGTAAAAGTTATGAATGCCCTGGAGTACTAATTTGCCGTAACAAAATCAGAGAATGTGTCAAACTAACTTGATGAGCAGCCATTGTATGTGTGCCCATTGATGTGGCAAAATATATAAGCAACGAGTAGAAAGCCACCTAAACATCAAAAGTCTCACTTAGACAAGAATTGTGTGTTAAGGCCAGAAAAAGTCATTAAAATGAGTTAAATAATTGATGCAACCTTTGACATCATTGTTACAAACACAGGAGCGGCAAGCCCAAGTATTGTACAAATTTCCTGGGCTGAAGGTACGGAGAAGGCAAATGCATTGTATCCCTTTTCATTTAGAGTCTGAACCATCATGTATGCAGCAACAACCTAGAAACAAGCCAACAGGAAAAGGTGTACTAGTTTGAGAAAATTTGGAACATGTGGTGTAATATATGGCAGTTATATATCACAATGTTCAGCTTACTTGTGAAGCCATCGTAGCCCAAGCAGCCCCAGCGATGCCATAGCCTAAAAAGATGCACAAAACTATATCACCAATGCCATTTATAACACTAGCAGCAGCTAAAGCCTTCAAGGGTCCCCAGGAATCTTTCATGCCAAGACTGTAAGAGAGGGTAATAATATCAGAACAGTGGATTCAATTGAGAAGCTGATGTTTTACTTGCCTACTCGAGCAAAGATCTCATCTATTACATGAATTGCTAAGGGTAACGAGAAACTTCAAGACAGCCTTAAAAAAGGAAGGAAAAACCAAGGAGAGAAAAAGTCATGTGTGGCTAAAAAGCACAAAGGGGCGAACTTAAAGAAACGGAAAGTATTGTATAAGAAGCCAGAGAGTTAAAAATACACATTTTCAAGTTAAGACGGATACTGCTACATATTTTCAAATAATTGAGGGGTAAATTGTCTAAGAAGCATTACCTTCTTAGAATTTTCCACGAAAAAACTTTTAGCCAAGAGTTTTCACATAAATATTGACAGAAACTTTATCACCAAACTGAAGGCTCAACCAAATTAATATAAACAATTACACAAACGGAGTAGAATAACAATTGCAGTATCTCATATTTAAAAAATAAATAAATAAATAAATTGTGAAGAAGCTGCAATCTAGTGTTTCAGATGACAACGCATGAGAAGTAGAGAGCATTATTTCACCTAGCACTTTGAGCAACCCATCCAACAAGTAAGGCTGGCCATGCCAAGCCTCGAATCTAATAACAAAAGAAATTTCTGTTTAGTTTGAAGCAAATTAAGCAATGCAGAAAATCATAGCTTTATTATTTTCAGAGACAGTGATTATAAAATAGCTATATATGATGCCCTGGTCTAATATCATGAGAAACGAGAATGACAATTGAAGGCTCCAATTACTTCTATCTGAGAAACGTTAAATAATTTGTTAAATTTTGAAGAATATAAATTGCGGCTTTTCTTTGAATAAAAAAAAAAAACAAGAATATTAAAAAAACCTGCACATAAGTGTTTGCCGCAGGCACCACATGTAAATTCTTTGACCCACTAAAAGCTGAAAAAGGCGTAGACAAAAATTTCGTCAGTCATTGCATTAGCTCTGCAACCTTTTCTGCATAAGCAAAATACTGTCATGGGAATTACGAAGAGCAAAAAATAACTAAGCTAAGTAAATCCTCAACCTTCCATGGACATAAATACAAGTAAAATATTCAGTACCAGTGAGTGTTGCTGCCCCAAATAATCGTGTAAACAAAAGCATCACCAAGCCACAAGCTAGGCCAACAAAAAGCAAGACGGATATGTGAAGCTGTACTTCTTCCCTATCCTACAAAAATAAATATACTCAGCAAATTGAAGTAAGGTCCTGTAAATACACCAACTGATAGATAAGGCGCATTAAAAACTGGATTGACTCATTATTAACGGTACACATTAAACCCTTATTGTCCTTATACACAAACTGTGGCATGGATAAATTATTCTCTCCTGTTACCATATTCTCCCATCTATTAATATCTTGCTCAAGACCAGCCACTCCAGTCAAGGTTGGGGAAATTTAGAGTAAATTTATTTATTATTCCTAATACTGTTTCTGGAATCTATTGCAGGTTTTTAGTGACATGTACAGAATATTAGAATACCAAAACCGTCCTTCATGACCAAAATAGGAGACTGTTCTGTTTCGGTCCTCATAAACAACCATCCTAGATTAAAAACATTTGCTTCCAAATATATTAACCAAAATTTATGACAGAAGAACCCCAGTTAAGTTCGTACAATCACACATGCTGCTCCTAACAACCAAACCCTTTGTTTAATTTACAAATAGGCATTAATCAATTGTAACGGAGAAGAAATAGTTCCGCTTTTTCAGAATTAAGAAACTAACCTGCTTAGCAAGAGCAGTAGCAACCATATTAGAAGTAGCAATCGAGAGAAACATGAACGCGTAACTCATGTAATCACAAACAACTGTAGCGGGGCCTGCTCATGGAAAATTAAGAGCAAGAACAATGTATATTTAGCTATCAAACGGTATATTAGCTAAATTAGTTATATCCCGTAATATAATTAGAACTAACATCACACAACTATGTCGAATTTATCATAAAGTGGCGGCACCAGGATTTAGTACCTAATGCAGCAAGTTCAATCGAGCTTCCTTGACCAATAACAGCTGTATCAATGAGACTCATTAGAGGTCCGCATATCCAAAGTCCCGTTGCCGGGCCAGTAAACTTGACTATTCCCTCCATCTGTGCCCATATACTCTGGTCGGCCAGTTCCTGCTTCTCAATCTTCTCCAGCATTTCATCTTCGCCTTCTTGCCCTCGAGAATTCTCTTCCACTTGATCTTCATTTTCAAGTGAAGTTTCGAGGCCATCATCAATGAGTTCTTGAGTCCTATTAACGCAAGAGGGCACGAACCAATAGCGATGCGTCCTCGAAGTTTTAATACACAAATTTGAAGGGAAAGCAGAAGCGTGAAAGGAAGGTGCAAATTTATAGAGAAGTCGGCGATTGGTCGACAAGGTAGTATAAGACTGAGGAGGTGATGATGTACACGGATTCTTTCGGCGAGGGTTTTGGAGAAAGTGAGTTTGAGGTAGGAGGAGTTTGCATGCCATTTTTGTTTCTGTTTGGCAGTCAAGGAGCGAAACACAAACGAGGTGACGAAAAAATGGAGGGAGGGGAAACGGAAGACGAGAAGCGGTCCGCGTCTTTTCTTGACGGTAAAATTTGACGCCCTTTTGATTGAGAAATCAAACGATGAAGCTGTAATATTTTACGCGCTGTAAAATATAAAATATAAAATGTAATTATCTTATAAAATTATCATTAATTATTATCACTGTAAAATATAAAATTTATATCAGAAAGAAGGGTTTTATCTCATACTAACTCTAGTTCTTAATATAAGATCCTATTTAATTTTTATTTTGATTTTAAATATAAGACTCTAATCTATTTTATTTCTTATATTTATGTATTTTTTTCTAAAGTAATCCTTCTAATAATAATAGTTTTGACCAATATACTTAATTTGTAAAGATATTTTGAGAAAGACAACACTTATTTATTATAAATAACTAACTAACTTAATTTATTCTTTTAATCTACTCAAATTAGTTAAGTAACTCTTATATTTATGATCAGAGAAAATACAAAATATTTATCCTGGATATAAGAAATTATCGAGATCAATTTATTCCTTCACTTAGTACGAGAGGTAGAAGCGCTAACCATCAGATAAAAGTTAAGACGCAAGAGTCCAAACTCTAGTGGGAAGGAAGATGTTGGTTTGGCTGCTTACTGTTACTGTGGCCTAATAACGGCTTTTTTTATCCAGACACGACAAACAGTAAAAATATTTACTCAGATGCTATAAGATAAAAATATTTACTCAGATACTACACTTGAAATCGTTCAGACAGTGAACGAGTTTAAATTTGTACAGAAGTTGTTCAGGCAAAAAACGACTTCAGTGGGACTCACATCCAAATATGAAAGTTGTTCTTGGTCTGAACAACTTCAGTGGACCCACATCACAAAATGGAAGTTGTTCTTGGTCTGAACAACTTCAGTGGGACCCACTATATACATTTGTCTTACACTCCATGCGTTTTCAGCTTTCATATTTTGACCAGACTATTTCTGCCTTTTCCAGCCCCACGCAAAGTATTCCTTCCTTCCCCAAATATTCCCATCAATATAGAGTAGTCATTCCTTGTCTCTCATGCGTAAGTACTTTGTTTTTGCATGTGAGTGTATAGTATGAATTCTACTTATATAAGGCATTCGGCATTCTTTTTATTTAATTATTCCAAAATTATAACTAAAATTCTAAAATTATAAATAGAATATTATTATTATTTATTTAATATTATTTATATTTAATTAATTCTGTTTTTAATAATTAATTAATATTAATTAGATATTAATTATAGATTTATTAAAAATAAATAGTATATTGAGGAAATTTCTAGATTTCACATCTAATTGAATTGTAGAAATATGATAATCTCCTCCAAGAATTTTTAGAAAAAAATCCGTCAGATTTACATTTTATTTGATCCTTAGTTTCTAGTCGAAAGTTAATAATGTATTCCCACTCATCATAAGCCTTCTCCTCACTTAACGGAGTGAAAGGGGCTTTTGTTTTGCATGTTTTGGGTTTTGTAATCAGACCCAGTTTTGTGTTACTTAGGGAATTTTTAGCAAAACGCTGCAAACAGGGAAAAAAAATTCTTCAAATACTACATAGTGGGAATTATTTCCCCAAATACTACACTCAAAGTTGTTCTTGGCTTAAACAACTTTAAAAGTTCATCTTAATAAGAGCAATTTCTTCAATGAACATTGGTTCCCATGCAGCTGAACTTCATCTTGGCTTGAACAACTTTTAAAATTCATCTCAGTAAGAGCAATTCCTCCAATAAACCTTGTCTTCCGTCTAGCTGAAATTCATCTTGGTGTGAACAACTTTTAAATTTCACCAGCATCTGAACAACTTCTTCACAATCTCTCACCACATAAATATTCCTACAAGGATGTTAATAATGGTCATATCATTAGAATAATGAGTTAATAATTATATAATGATAATAGTAATAATTAATATTATATTAATTAAAAAGTGATTAAAGAAAATAAGTAATGATTAAATGTTATAAAATTAATAACAAATAACAATTAAATTGACATGAACAAAAATAAGAATTAATTTACCTCACAAATAATGACTCCCCGTGCCACATCTTGGTCTCCTCCGCGCACGTTGTGGCCGTTGTTGTATATTTACTTCTTGAGTTTGATCTAATGTCTCATTTGTCTGCGTAGTTGACGTATTTAAATCAAACCAAGGTGATTCGGCTAAAGAAATTGATTGTCGAGGGGTGACAAATGCTTCATTTGATGGACCACCTTGCTCAAAAGAAGAAGTGTTATATTGATCGATAAATAATGCAGAATCATCAAATAAGGACATGAATGACTGAAATTGAGGAGGATTGGGTGAGTCAGAATGGGATAATGTTGATGATGATGGCATGTGATGAGGGTAAAAATGAGTTGGATTGGAAGAGGTGATAGGGCTTGATGAGACTGGTATGTTATCAGAATGACTAAAATTTTGAGGCTCTTGTTCACTTAAATTTTCATTTACAATTGGTGGCTGAGTAGACAAGTAACCGCCTCGCCGTTTGCTTGGTCTATCTCGAGGAATTTGTGGACGAGGTAGCTCAACTGGTGGTGGAGCTGGTTGAGAATTCATATTAAACCGTTGTTCTCTAACTGCAAGTAAGATGTTACGCTAGTCTCGAGCAACTCTTTCTCGATAATCAATGCAATCAGAGCATGTTGAACGAGAATTAATTGTTAGCCTATATAACTGTTCTGCTATGTCAGCCTGAAATAAATAAAACATTAGGTTTGAAAAAATTTCGTATAAAAGAAAATGATGATATTGATCAGAAAAAACTAAAAAAACCTTACCACATAGCCAGTATCACCACTAACACGTTGGATCCATCGTCTTGTATGTCTCCAATACCATTGCATGTACTCAGATGTTCGATCAAGTTCACCAAGTGCCAGAGGAGCATCAACAACTGCATGTGGCCATCTATTCCATGCTTCAATGAAGTTTGAGTATTCTTCAGTCCAATTTGTGCTTATTCTGCCACGTAGCTGTATTGTATGGTAATTTCCTAAATGAACAGGCATGAAATGAATAGGTTGTTGACGACCGAATTGTCTTAGTACACAATCAGGGTGATGCCATTCTATAATATGAAAACATATTAGAGGAACTGAAGCAAGCCAAATTTCAGGTGTTGCCAAGCAATATTCTGGAATCAATTGGTGCACTTCAGAAGATTCATATGGCTGCCAAATTATGTCATCATCGGTCATTCTATCAAGAAGACTCCTATATTGGCGTAAGGATGTGACACTTGGACAAGGATTTTGTGCTACATTTTTCCATCTAGCATTATCAACAACCCAAAAAAGTAGTGTTAAGATTTGTGAAATTTCAATAATAAGTACATATGAAATATTTGTTGAGTGATTTTGGCATACCTGAAACCCAAAGGAGGTAAGAGAGGGTAGATATTAGATTGTGGATCTAGAGATACAGGTTGTTGTGGTGCTAGCATAGGAAAACGATCACATGCCCATAAATGTAATAATGATAAGCACCCTCCAATCCCATCTTCAGTTGGATTAGTAGTATTACATAATTCTCTATACAGGTGAGCTAAAACTGCTGAACCCCAACTAAAATTTCCAACTTCTTCTAGATTATAAAGTAGTGGAAGGTACATCAAATACACCCTAGTACACGATCTATCTGGCATGAGATATCCTCCAATCAACCTGAGAATATATGCACGAGTGAATTGTTGAACTTGTACATCGTCTGCATCATCAAGTAAGTGATTAAAGTGCTCTTCCAACCAATTCGTAAGTAGTCGTTGTCCAAGTATTCTATCTGCAGGTGGTCTAACCCCTAGAAGCCATTCACAAAACATCTTGCCGATTAAAGTCAGTTTTCCAATGACAGGCATTCCTACACAAGGAAGGCCTAACTGTATAGCAACATCCTCTAATGTTATTGTGCACTCTCCACGTGTAGTATGAAATGTGTGAGTCTCAGGACGCCACCTCTCAACAAGGGCTGAGACCAAACTCCGGTCGTAATCAAATTGCCCTACCCTCGCAACACCATAAATCCAGCTAATCTAAGATATTCAAGTATCTGATTGGGTGGCTCAATCATTCGATTAGCATGCATGACTCGTCTAGTGTGTAGGATTCGAGAAACCTATAGAGAAAATTTAAAAAAAAAGTTATTATTAAAGCATAGAATTAATAAGTAGTAGTTAAGAGAGATTACTTACATTTTCATTCCAAACTTGTTGCGAAATATGTTGAGTTTGTAAGTATAAAGGTGAGTTATCCTCTGGACCAGGGTTAATGACTTCTTCTGGATATTGTGCCATTTTCAAATATCTAAACACAACATAACAAATAAATATTCACATAATATAAAAAATTACAAAAACCATTTACATTTCATCTTCATATGTATAATTTTCTTTTTACATAAGCAAAACACATAATTTATTGTTTGGATGCCACACTTTGAGGACAAGTAGAGCGATTACCAATTTGTCTACATAATCCACATTTGTTGGGTGGGTTGGGTATGGTCCAATCCATCTCATTACGTATGCGACTGAACGAGGACGGCCTTTATCTCTAATCATTGATGGATCAGGTATTAGAGTAGGGCAATCAATTTGCGGCCAGTAAGTCCTTATCTCCTATTGGATGAAAGTTGTTACTGTAAGCCATTTGCATGGTTTCTAACCTAAAAACAGGATCAACATATTGCAAATGGTTAATGCCTACTTGTGAGCAAGTTGCAAAAGCATGCATACATGGAAACTTTTCTGCTTGAAATTCTCCATAATCACATTTCTATCATCAAGTTAACCTTGCAACAACGACGAAATTGACGAAGTTGAATATTGTATGGCTCCATAACCTCAAATGATGGTGATATTCTATCAAACCGTCGAACAACACATCCAGATGCACCTTGTGTTACTATGTCTAACTTCTTTGTTAGTGTCTCAGAAAACACTTTAACCAGCTACAATTTGCGCATGAACTTGTTGGGCACGCTTTACAAAATACTCCCTCTGT